ATTGTGTTATTGTTGTTTTATTGTTTGTTTTATTGTCTTGTTGTTYAATCATGTTTTGTTGTTTTATTGTGTTATGGTTGTTTTTTTGTATTGTTGTTTAATCATGTTTTGTTGTTTTCTTCTGTTGTGGTTGTTTGATTGTGTTGTTGTTGTTGTTGTGCAGGTGGAGGCAGACGGGGAGGTTCTGGCTCTGTTCTGTGGGACAGAGGACACAGACACGGAGCTGGTTCCGGCCCAGCGGGTCATCACGTCCCCCAGAAMCTCCCTGAGCGTTCTGTTTGTGTCTGACTTCTCCAACGAGGAGCGCTACTTGGGCTTCGAGGCTCATCACAGCGCTGTGGGTGAGGAGCTGACAGAACCACCACACCTGGGTCCGGTTCCTGAGACCCCTCCCCGTCCAGAACCAGAACCAGACTGTCCCTCTGTCTCTGCAGACGTGGACGAGTGCAGCGATCGGAGCGATGAGGAGCGACTCTGTGATCATTTCTGCCACAACTACATCGGAGGATACTACTGCTCCTGTCGCTACGGCTACCTGCTGCACGCCGACAACCACACCTGCACAGGTGAGTGAGCCGACACACCCACAGGCTCACCTGCACAGGTGAGTGAGCCGACACACCCACAGGCTCACCTGGTGGGATGTGTTTTCAGAGCTGCAGGAGGAAATGTGAAGAAGTTTGAGCATGACTCCAGCTGATTGGTTGAAAATATTTGGATGTTTCTGTGTGGAGGAGAGAGCACCTGCGCACACACACCTGTGACCTCTGACCCCTGACCTCTGACCTCTGTGACCTCTGACCTCTGACCCCTCCAGTGGAATGCAGCAGCGATGTGTTCMGGGAACGCTCTGGAGTCCTGAGCAGTGTGGACTTCCCGGCTCCGTACCCAAAAAGCTCCGACTGTTTGTACCACATCCAGGTGGAGGAGGGCTTCAGGCTCCGCCTCCAGTTTGACCCTCACTTTGATGTAGAGGACCACCCCGACGTCAGCTGCCCCTACGACTACGTGAAGGTGAGGACACACACACACACACACACACACACACACACGATCAGAGCACGGACCCATGTGTGTGTGTGTTTGTGTGTGTGTGTGTGTGTGTGTGTGTGTGTGTGTGTGTGTGTTTGCGTGTGTGTGTGTGTGTGTGTCAGATTGAAGCAGGAAGCAGGGAGTTCGGTCCGTTCTGCGGTGCTCGATCACCTGGAGTCGTTCAGACTGACAGTAACATCGTCAACATCCGTTTCCATAGCGACAACTCTGGAGAACACCTGGGCTGGAGGCTCACCTACACCTCTGAGGGTGAGACACACAGGTACACACAGGTACACAGGTACACACATGTACATAGGTACACAGATGTACACACAGGTACACAGGTACATAGGTACACACAGGTACACACCAGTACACACAGGTACACACTGGTACCTGGAACACACAGGTACACACAGGTACACAGGTACACAGAGGTACATAGGTACACAGAGGTACACAGGTACACACAGGTACACAGGTACATAGGTACACACAGGTACACAGGTACACACAGGTACACAGGTACACACAGGTACACAGAGGTACACAGGTACACACAGGTACACAGGTACATAGGTACACACAGGTACACAGGTACACACAGGTACACAGGTACACACAGGTACACAGAGGTACACAGGTACACACAGGTACACAGGTACATAGGTACACAAAGGTACACAGGTACACACAGGTACACACAGGTACACACAGGTACACAGGTACACACAGGTACACACAGGTACACACAGGTACATAGGTACACAGGTAC